TCCAGTTCGCGGTGAGTTCTGAGATATACGAGAGAATCGCCGACTCCACCCCTGAGGAGCCGTGGACCGACTGATGGACATGGGAGCGGACTGGAACTGGTGGACGGCATCCGGGACGGGCTGGGTACCCTTGCCGGCAACCTGGGGATAGACGTACCCGACACTCTCGTAAATATTCTCCCTTACGCCGGAGCCGTTGCGGCAGGCGCCCGGCTGATTTACGGCGTCATCAGAACCGAGAGGGAGTTCAGGGAGGCCGACCGGACCACCAGGAACAAGATCCAGGTTGTGCAGACCCTGACCCTGATGGCCCGGATGGGAATAACCACCGTCCTGTCGACCGCTGGAGCGTCCGGTGGAGCAGCGGCCGGGACTGTGGTCCCGGGAGTGGGCAACCTGGTCGGAAGCAGTGTGGGAGCCCTTGGCGGGGGACTGATGGGGATGTATCTGAACCGGCATCTCCAGCCGCACATGCTGCAGCTTGGGCTGAACATCTGCGGGCTGGAGGAGGACGACCTGTTCTACTTCAAGAACAGGTCAAGGGTGGACCAGTTGGCGCTGTCTTTCCAGGAAACCTCAACCTAGAGAGAAAAGGGAACCCCCAGTGAAGATCCCGCTTTCCTGGCAGCCTTGGTCACTCTTGCAACCCTCCTGGCCTGCTAGAGACAAACTCCAAATCCAGGACTTGCCCTTACAAAAACCCCAGAGTCGACGGCGACCCTGATGCCCACAACGGAGTCAGCCCCTGGACCCGGTGGCGTGACAACGGCGTTACCAACCAACACCAAAGCCGCGTAGGCCTGGTCTCCGGATAAGAGGCAGCAGTTCGCCAACCACTGGGCGACGACCACCTGATAGCGGTGCCGTCCCGAGCCAACCGCTCGAAAGGCATCCGGGGACCTGGTGAGTGGAAGCCGCCTAACGAGGGCTACTGGTTCCAGTACGTAACGGACTGGGCAGAGATAGAGGAGCGGTGGACCCCCGGTGCACAATGGCGAAGGTGTGGATGATCCCCTTGCCGCTCCTCTGGATTCAGTTGGTGTCGCGGGCGTTGCAGTGCCGCAGCCAAAGCTCTCCTTCCTTGCATTTCTCGAAATAGAAATCCGATTCGGGCTGGGGCGTGGGTGCCGGAATCGGGGGCGGCGACTGCTGTTGAGTCATCGCAAATCTCCTCGCAAATTGAATGACGGAATCGGGCTTACTCAGGCCCGGTCGAACGCCACCCAAAAATACGCAGACAGCCCGCACCCGTCAAAAAAGCCCCGCCCCGCCGCAGGCCCATTCAAACGCTCCCTCCCACTTGAAAGCAGGCAGCATTTCCGCACCGATCCATCTCACCCGCGTACCCCTCCGCCTATCCCGCCAGAGTCCCAGACCCAGCGAATGCAGACGCGAGAATCCACTGCCCAAAATAGACCGCCCCGCCAGCAAACCGTAGGGGCTGGTTTGGAACCCGCCCCTCCACCACTGCCCATCCTTCCCTCCGGCACAGGCCCGCACCCCCGATCGTAATTCCCGCACCCCCTACCGTATTTCCCGCGAAAGCGGGAATCCAAACCCCCGTCGCACCCACAAAAGCAGGGCGGAGGCCGGAATCCACGGCCCCAAGCCTCCGAGCAAGCCCGTCCCCGAAATTGCTGACACTTGCCCCTTTACAAGCCTCATGACACATCTCTAGCCTGAATACATAGAAGAACAACCCGCTGCCGCAGGCCGGATCCCAGCACGGAGTCGCGCGCAACTGCCAGGGGCAAAGGGCAAAAATGATCGGAAATGCTCGGTTTTGATCGGAAATAAGCGGATTATCCAAATTTTCGGAAACCATCAGGAGACTGAACCATGTCGTCGCGCCATATGTCGTTGCGCCAGATCAGGAACGCCGTCGAGGCCCTCAAACGCAAATTCGCCCCAGTGCTCGCCATCATTCGGCTCAGCCGCGTCGCCAATGAGATCACCCAGCTCTGGCACCTGGCCATTGCAAACAAGCAGCCCAAACCCGACCCCTACGCCTGCGTCCGCCGGGTTGCCGACGCCGGATTCCGGCTCAACACCTATATGGCCTTCGAAAAATACCTCCAGCGTTGTATCGACGATGATCGGCGTCCTGTAATAAGGGGAATCATCACCACCCTCCTCCCCTGGTCCGCCAATGGTTCCTGGCTGAACAACCTGGAACGGAATATCCCAGGCACCGCCTGATCCCCGCTCCCGGTGGGCCTGTCGGACCACGAGCCCTGTCAAACCAGGAACCTGCCGGACCACGGGGCCGCCACTCAACGCTCGGAAACGCTCGGAAATGAGTGGGAATAGCGAAATTTTCAAGCCGGTCGAATGCTGTGGTGCCGTGTGCGACAAGTACCCTCTCCTTGGGGGATCAGGTCAGGGCCTACCCACGCGAAAGTCGCGGACCCGGGCGCGGTCTGATCGGCGATCCAGGGCAGCACAGCGGCAGGCTCCAGATGAGCCTCGCCCACCTGATTCGGAACGCCATCGGTAGAGACCTCCGTGTAGACAAAGCCGGATGCTCAATTTACTATGCCAAGGGCATTCAGTAATTGAGACTTCGGAGTATCGCGATGGCCCATAAGGTTCAGGGTGTTGTAGCGGAATCTAGGGGAGCGCCGGTCAAGCTCACCACCATAAACGTTCCCGATCCGGGCCCCGGCGAGGCCCTGGTCCGGGTGCAGGCATGCGGCGTTTGCCACACCGACCTCCACTACCGCGAGGGCGCAATCAACGACGACTTCCCCTTCCTCTTGGGACATGAGGCAGCGGGGGTGGTCGAGAGCGTCGGCCCCGACGTGGACAACGTGGCCCCCGGCGATTTCGTCGTCCTTGCCTGGCGCGCACCCTGCGGTACCTGCCGCTCCTGCGTCCGCGGCCGCCCCTGGTACTGCTTCGACAGCCACAACGCTACCCAGCCAATGACCACGGCCGACGGCAAGCCCCTCTCGCCTGCCTTGGGCATCGGCGCCTTCACTGAGCTGACCCTAGTAGCCGCCGGCCAGGCTGTAAAAGTCCCCGCAGAAGCCAGCCCCGCCGCCGCCGGTCTCATCGGCTGCGGCATCATGGCCGGCCTGGGTGCTGCCGTGAACACCGGCGGCGTCAGCCGCGGAGACTCCGTGGCCGTGTTCGGATGCGGTGGCGTCGGCGACGCTGCCATCGCAGGGTCAAAGCTCGCCGGAGCCCACACCATCATCGCTATCGACATCGACGACCGCAAGCTGGAATGGGCCCCGCGAGTTCGGCGCCACCCACACCATCAACGCCCGCAACACTGACCCGGTGGAGGCGGTTCGCAACCTGACCGGCGGCAACGGCGTCAACGTCGCCATCGAGGCCGTCGGCAATCCGGTAACCTTCGAGCAGGCCTTCTACGCCCGCGACCACGCCGGCACGGTGGTCTTGGTGGGCGTCCCCAGCCCCGACATGAAGATCGAATTGCCCCTGATCGAGGTCTTCGGACGTGGCGGCGCCGTCAAGTCTTCCTGGTATGGCGACTGCCTGCCCACCCGAGACTTCCCCATGTTCATAGAGCTCTACATGCAGGGCCGCCTCGACCTCGACCGTTTCGTCTCCGAGACCATCGCCATCGGCGACGTGGAGGAAGCCTTTCACAAGATGGAGCGCGGCGAGGTCCTCCGCTCGGTTGTGGTGTTCTAGATGGCCTATGACGAAGACCTCGCCGACCGCGTCCGCACCCTGCTGGCCGACAGGTCGGTAGTTCGCGAGCAGAAGATGTTCGGCGGCCTGGCGTTTATGGTCGATGGCAACATGGCCTGCGGCATCCTGCGCGGCGAGTTGATCATCCGAGTGGGCAAGGAGAACCTGGGCGACGCATTGTGCCTGCCCCATGCTCGTATCTTCAATATGACGGGCAGGCCAATGCGCAGCTTTGTCTATGTCGCTGCTGAGGGTATCGCCACCGATGAAGGCCTGCAGGAATGGGCCAGTCGAGGCATCGACTACGCCGGATCCCTTCCACCCAAATAGGAAGTAAGGCTTCCTTCCACGGAAGCAATTGAAAGGAGAACGATATGGACCTTGGCGCAATGATGTTCGTAACCGACTACTCCATGCGGCCCGATGAATTGGCTCGGGCCTTGGAGGAGCGGGGATTCGAGTCCATGTGGGTTCCCGAGCACACCCACATCCCCGCCAGCCGCGTCTCACCTTGGCCCGGTGGCCCCGACCTGCCCCAGATGTACTGGCACACCTACGACCCCTTCGTCGCCCTCACCGCTGCGGCGGCGGTCACCACCAACCTCAAGCTCGGCACCGGCATCTGCCTGATGATCGAGCGCGACCCCATCACCACCGCCAAGGAGGTGGCCAGCCTCGACCTCATCTCCAACGGCCGCTTCATATTCGGCATCGGCGGCGGCTGGAACGCCGAGGAGATGGAGGACCACGGCACCGACTTCAAGCGTCGCTGGCGCATCCTCCGCGAGAACATCCTGGCCATGAAGGCAATCTGGACCGAGGACGAGCCGGAGTTCCACGGCCGCTACGTGAACTTCGACAAAATGTGGGCTTGGCCCAAGCCAGCGCAGAAGCCCCATCCGCCGATACTGATGGGCGGAGACGGCCCCACCACCTTCGATCGTGTCCTGGAGTACTGCGACGGTTGGATGCCCATCAGCGGCCGCGCCGCCGAGGGACCCGGCCTGCCCGAAAAGATTCAGCTCCTCAAGCACCGCGCCGAGGACATCGGCCGGGACCCGGACTCCATAAACATCACTGTTTTCGGCGCCCGTCCCGATCCCGAAAACCTGGCCCGCATGGAGGAATACGGCGTCGACCGCGTCCTCTTCAGCCTGCCCTCCGAAAAAGCCGACACCGTAACCCCAATCCTCGACGACTGCGCCAGGCTCCTGTAAGGAGCTGCAAAGCTCCACTTACCGACGACGGGGCGTACGACTGTGCGCCCCTACGCGTTCTCCCGTACGGCCAGTTGCGCTTCAATCCGTGCCAGGATGTCGCGTATCTCTACCAGCACCGCATCCGGGGCGGTCTGGGACGCAACAGCGGCAGGCTCCCCCGCACGGCCCGATTCCCCGTCGACGACGCGCTCTCGCTGGGCAAGAACGGCGTTGCGGAATGCTTCAGCGTCAATAACCCCGATGAGGTTCCCTTCGGAGCTTGAGTTCTGGCCCGACGAACCCGCGGTCTCTACCTTTAGCCCCCACAGCCCGTAGTGCCGCATCACCGGGCCGTCGTGCAGCCGCAGGTCGGTGATCCGGTTCAGCGGGATGGTCGATTCCTTGCGGAAGAACACGCCCATCCTGATTTCAAGGGCATTGGCGGTTAGCCTCGTCGACACCCGGCGCATGTACTCCGGCCCATACCATAAGCTGAACATCCACCAGAACGGGATCAATAGAATTCCCACCCCCGTTATTACCAGGATTCAACTGACGGCGAGCCGAACCCAGTTGACAATCTTGCGGTCAAACTCGGCCTCGGCAATAACAAGACCCGTAACAGCTGCCACAGAAATAGCTCCTTTACCTGACCAGATACATCCGGGAGAGGGCGACCGCGGTTACTGCTCAGCTGGCCTTCGGGAAAGCGGCAATACTGCAAACACCACCGATGCCAACCCGAACAGCGCGGCGATGTAGTACATCGTCTCCGTGAACCCCATCGTCTGGTAGATCGCTCCCGCCACCAGGGCCGACCCGGCCGACATCAGGAAGGCGATGCAGGCTACCACGCCCAGGCCGGTGGAGGCCACCTCCCGACCCACCACGTCGAACACCGCCGCGGTCAGGATCGGCTGATCGGGGTAAAGGAACAGCCCCAGGAGGGCAATCGCGATTGTCAGCGTTAGGCCGTCGTTGAATGGGACCATCGCCAGGGTGACGAGGCAGGACCATATCAGGCCCGGCACCAGCACCTGCTTGCGGCCAACGCGGTCAGAAAGATACCCGGCCAGCGGCTTGGCCAGCAGCCCAACGACGATCAGCAGGGCGATATGAAAACCCCGCCACGCCGGGCCCATTTCCAGATCGTTGCCAAGGTAGAGGGGCAACACCGTAACAAGCGAGATCAGGCACATCCCACGCAGCCCTCTTACAAAGGTCAGGCCCCAGAGGACCGGGTTGCGCAGCAACTGGCGGGTCAATTCCATTCGCCGCACCATCGTGGGAGGATCCACGGGCGCACCGGACTCGGTGTTCACGTGCCCGATGTGGCGGAACGTCCAGACGGCCATGAATCCCATGAAGAAGGGCGCAATGGCGTAAATGCTGAGCAGCTCCCTCCAACCCAGGAGGGCCAGCAGCGCCCCGGTGACCAGCGGCCCTGCCACGTCGCCTATGCTCCCTCCAACACCGTGGAACGACAGGGCCGTACCCCGCCTTTCGGCAAAGTGGTAGGACAATGAGGCAGATGCCGGCAGGTGCCAGACCGAGTGGGAAATTGCCACCACCCCGATGCCGATCAACAATAACGGGTATATCGGCGAAACGCCCATCAGCAGCGACCCAACGGCAGCGAGGGCGAGGCACCCCGCCAGCAGAAGACCCCAGTACCGGCGCAGAAAGTCCACCACTACCCCGCCGGGCAGCGCAATTAATCCAGAGGCCAGATCCCGGGCCGACATGATCCCAGCCGCCCCTACGCTGTTCAGGCCGAAGGCCACCTGGATTTCAGGCAGGGCGACTGCAAAGCTCTGGATGATCCAGTGAAAGGCGGCGTGCCCCGAGGCCAGGCCGGGAATCATAAACCGTCGGGATGTTGATGAAACCCCACCTGAAAGGGCGTGTTCCTGAGCCATGAATCTCCACCATTATGCGGGCAATCTGGGGAAGACTTTGAATGTTGTCTGGCGAAATGGCGCGGGTCAGGTGCCGATGCGGACGGGATCGAAAACGTCCCGGACCGAGCGAATGATGGACATCGCGGTCAGCCTGCCGGTCTTGGGATTCTCGGAAGGTATATTCTCGATATGGACCTGAAGCAGCCCGAATTCACCCTCAACGGTGATGTCGTGGCAGTTACGGGCCAGCGCAGGGTCGGCAACTATGCATACCGTTGTGCGGTCGGGGCCGATGCCGGCCAAGCTGACTGCCGCCGACACGTTCAGGTTGGAGGGGAAGCCACGGCAGGCGTCCCGGGCCGACCCACAAAACACCTCCCGGGCCTCGGTCAAACCGTCTATCGGGATCTCATTCTCAATGAGATAGGGGGCACCCTCCAGTGCCGCGATGGGCTTCCGCGACACCATTTCCACTCTGTCAACATGCCCCTGGCAGGCCGACTTGATCCCGTCCAGCCCGGCTATTGCACCGGACGGCGCGTAAAGACGGCAACCGGTCGCGCGGGCCCAATCAATGACCTCCGGATGCTCAAGCAGCGCACCGATGCTGATGACCATCAGGTCTTTCCCTGCCCCGAATGCCGCCACTGCCAACTGCGGCACCACGTGGCCTCCGGCAGTCTCGATCAGCAGCGACGAACTTCCCACCAATTCGCCCAGTTCAAGGTATGGCGGGGGAGAGTCGAGGGTTTGCAGGAACTCCAGGGCCGTCTCGGCTGTACGGCTGGCCACTCCAGCGATGGGCGCTCCAAACTGGCCGGTGTCCCCTGCGCGCAGGAGAGCCCGACCGATGGAGCCGCATCCGACTATTCCTATCCCCTGAGACATTGCATTTCTCCGGGGCAACTCTACCACAAACAAAAATGAGCCACTCTCGTAAGAGTGGCTCCGTTCCTCTGGGTTCAGTGGACCCTAGCGCCGGATGGTGCTGAAGCAATCGCTGCAGTAGACGGGCCGGTCACCACGGGGAACGAAGGGTACCATGGTATCCACGCCGCACTGGTCGCAGACCACCGGGTGCATTTCCCGGGGACCGCCACCCATGCCGCCACCACCACGCCGCCGCCTACACGCTGCTGGCTCTTGCGAGCGCTGCGGCAGGGAGAGCAACGCTTGGGATCGTTGCTGTACCCCCGGGACGAGAAGAACTCCTGCTCTCCGACGGTGAAAATGAACGGCGCCCCGCACTCCACACACGTTAGTTCTTTATCTGCCAATGCCATTCGGATAACCTCCAGATATTTGTGTAACCAAGGGCTCAGTCCAGGTCATCCGAGGCAGCGGTAACGGAATCAGTAACCAACAGCAGGACACCTTAACTTGGGCCACACTTATTATATCACCATCGGACTTTGTAAATACGGATGGTGCAGTCAAATTCCCGATTCGTTCCCCGAAAGGGGCTATTCTTCCGCCGGCAAGAAGGCGTTGGGAACAATGGCACTGCCGATTCCGACTGCGGTTGTATCGCCTCGCTGGTTCTGTACTTCGATTTTTACGTCCACCTTCAGACCGTTGGCCTCCCTTGACGTGCCGGTAACCTCTCCAGTGAAGGTAACGGCATCGCCGGGCCGCACTGGGCGTATGAAACGAAGGTCGACCGTTCCGGTGCGATTGAAGACCTCGCTGCCGAAGTGCCGGCGCATCAGTTCCAGTGCGAAACTGATGGACATCCGGCCCGAGGCCACGGTGCCGGACGTGCCGAGCGTCTCCCGCGCCGCCTCCTCATCGGTGAACTGCGATGGACCGGAAAGCCCGGCGCTGCCCTCAAACAGGTTGATGGCCTCTTGGGTGATCTCCTTTACCAGGGGCCCAACGGCGTCGCCTTCAGCGTAGCTGCGTTCTACCCCTCCCATTTCTTGCCCACCTCCCACGGCTGCTTCAATTCGTGGGTTATCACCCTGTCGATCAGGCGACCGTCCTCATCCACCGATGTCGCCTCGGTGACGATATAGTTCTTCCCCCGGCGCAGGTACTTGTCAGCGACCCAGGCGGTGACGGTCAGCTTCTTCCCGGGAATCGGTGAGTTGTAGCAGTGGAAGGCACAGCGGGCGTTGACAGAGCCGTTATCGGAGTACTTGGCGTTGAATTGCCTCACGTCCACCTTGTGCGAGATGGTAGGAAATGCGGCCTCGGGATCCATCACACCACGTCGGTAATCGTCTATCATCTCCTGAGTCAGGACGTAATCGAACTTTTGGAAAGTCTCGCCCACCTCGAGCGCATCCCAATCGAGGGGAACGCGGTTGTCAACATCAGCCATGTGTCATACCTCCAGGTTAAAGATCAGCTTTCTCTGAGAAAGGGTCCGGGAGCCCGATCTATCGTTCACCGGTATGGCTACCGGCCCTTCCAGACCGGAGGACGTTTTTCCGTAAACGCTCGAGGACCTTCGGCAAAAGTCCTCGGTGCGCGTGAGGGTGGCAAAGAGCACGTTCTCGAACCGTAGAGCGTCTTCCAGTGCACGGCCCAGGCTGCGTATCATCGATTCCTTGGCCGACCGCACACCCAGCGGTCCGTTGGCGCAGATGGCTCCGGCATAGCGCTCCGCGGCCGGCATGAGCTGCTCCATAGGTACCACTTCGCTCACCAGCCCGATGCGGTGCGCCTCGGCTGCACCGATATGTTCGCCGGTCAGTTGCATCCGCAGCGCGTTGCCCAGGCCGACGATGAGCGGCAAACGCACCGTTCCACCATCGCAGTGGTGGAATCCTCTCTGCACCTCCGAACAACCGAAGACAGCGTTTTCAGAGGCAACGCGAATGTCGCAGGCCAGGGCCAGCTCCAGTCCGCCAGCCAGCGCATAGCCGTTTACCGCTGCGATGATGGGCTTCCATATATTGAGTCCCCGGGTAATGCCACCAAAGCCGGGACGGTCGGCGTCCTGCCTCAGGTCGTAAATGTCGCGCTCGCCCAGCACAGGCGTGTAGGTCTTGAGGTCGGCACCGGCACAGAAAGCACGGTCGCCTTCGCCAGTGATGATCGCCACCCACGCCTCCGGGTCGTCGCGAAAAGTCTCCCACACGCCGATGATCTCCATCTGCTGTTCGGGGCCAAGCGCGTTCATCGCCTGAGGGCGCTTGATGGTGATGTAGGCGGTATGGCCACGCAGTTCATATTCGATGTCAGGCATCTTGAAATTCCTCGGCGAGACAAGGCAGTCGGTGAGGTGAACAGTTGACCGTTATCCTACCACCCACCCCGACAAGGCCTCAAATCAGATACATTCCGAACGGGACCCAAGACTGCCTGCCCATCTTGCCCCTGACCATTCGGCATGCCAAACTAGCCGCCGTAGCCAGACCGGAGCAGGAGGTTTGACAATGAAGCTTGCCCTTTACGACGATTTCCAGCTTGGAGTGATCACCGGCGACCGCATCGCGAACGCGATGGCGGCGGTGGCGGGAATGAGCTTTCGCCGTCCCCAAGACATGATCGAAGAGGTAATCATCAACTGGGACGACATTCGCCCTCGCATCGAGGCCGCTGTACATGGCAAGGAGGGCGTCCCGTTGAACGGCGTACGGCTGCGGGCGCCGGTGCTCGCCCGCCCAAGCTGATCTGCGCCGCCGTGAACTACCTCGAGTTCGGCATGCGCGAGCCGGCCGTTCTGGACGGATTCCTCAAGGCCCCCAACGCCGTGATCGGCAGCGGCGATACCTGCGAGCTTCCGCCGGCACCGGCCTCCGTGTTCCATCACGAGCCGGAACTGGCCTTCGTCATCGGTCGCACCGCCCGCAAGGTGGAGCAGGACGAAGCGCTGTCCTACATATTTGGGTACACCAACTTCCTCGACATGTCGGCCCGTGGCCTGACCGGTGCCGTCGGAAACAGCTTCTTCCTTGGAAAGTGCTGGGACACATTCGCACCGATGGGGCCCGCATTGGTGACCGCGGACGAGATCGCCGACCCGCAGAACCTGCAGGTGCGACTGTGGAACAATGACGAGCCGCGCCATGACTTCCCGACCAGCGACATGGCCCACAAGATCCCTGAACTGATCTCGGAAATGTCGAAAAATCACCACCTTGGAGCCGGGCGACGTCATAGCCACTGGGGTCAACCACCAGCACATCGGAGCGGTGCAGGACGGCGACGTGCTGCGGATGGAGATCGAGGGCCTCGGCCCGCCGCTGATCATCAGCATCTCCGATCCTTCGGGCAGAGAGTGGCCCCGGGGAACCGACAAGGCATTCGCAGATATGATCGTAGCAGGCGCTCCGGCGCAACGGGGGTAGGGAGTATTTCTGAATCGAGATAACTAAAGGCGGGTTTAGACCCGCCCGGTTTGCATCGAAGGGTGTTACGAACGGGATAGCTGCCAGCAGCCGACCACTAATCCAATACGAGGAACGCTGTCTCCCCAAGTTTAGCAGCGCGACGGCTCAGCTCCTGGGCAACGAATCGGTTAGCCTCAAACAGGTCTACCAAATCAGTCGTTGACTCCACATATAGCTTATTTTGGTCGGTATTGTGCCAGCGTAATTCTTCAAGGGTCATTCTGTTTCCCTTGGTTAAGTTGCAACTGCGATGCAAAATGGCGAGGTTGTACAACTCGTCATCACCCTTGATTCCCATCGCAGCCTTGCGCGCGCGAATGTGATCGACCTCTAGCAGCGTAAGATCTGTCGTGCCATTGAGACGCTGGGCCAAAAATCCACATCCCCAGCACACAGGCCCAAATCGATGAACAAGCAACTCCTTTACGTCTGCTTTACTTATTTGCCCTGACCAGTCTGACAACTTTGGTGTTTTCCAGGAGAACTTATCAGCAGGGATTATATTCAGGACTGGCGGCTCGTAGATTACGTGCACCTGGGTTAACGTATCTATTGAGCCCAAAACATTTATCAGTAGCTTGTCACCCTTGGATATCGCTATCAAGGTATTAAATTCTGCCAATTCTGGTGAGCTATCGAAGAACTGCCAAATTGACGTCTTTTCGACCATCCTCCACAGTCGAATATCTGTATCATCACTGTATTTTTGCCAGAGCTTTTGAACTATCAATTCGGGCTCCACCCAGTTAGTCATCAACAACTCTCCAGTCGATTTAGAATGCAGTAAGAGAGAAATAGCTCTCCAATCTGCAAAGTTTGCAACTGCAATTTATGCTAGAACACAAGCCTGCAGCTCCGCAACGACTATCCAACACTCGTCATTGACTGCGTTGCTACTACTGCCTCTACGGTGGACAGCCATCGTATCCACCAGCGTTTCACGACGACTATCGTTGGGAACCGCCTATTGACCCACCTTTGCCAAAAATTGCAGGATGTAGGCGGCGACCTTATCATGCAGGAGACCGCAGCCTCCAAAGCTGCCAGGAGGTAAGCAATGACTCAGGCCTCGACGCTCAACGACACGCTGGAGTTTGGGCTTTTTGACTGGATCGAGTGGGACAAGTCCGCCCCCCACGAGATATTCGAGAACCGCCTGAAGATGCTGGAGTACGCCGACAAAAGCGGGTTCCACAGCTACCACCTCGCCGAGCATCACATCACTCCGCTGAGTGTATCGCCCTCGCCGTCCGTGTTTCTGGCAGCGGCGGCACAGCGGACGTCAAAGCTGCGGCTGGGGCCCCTGGTCTACTTGCTTCCTTTCTACAACCCCATACGCCTCTACCACGAGATCTGCATGCTGGACAACCTCAGCAACGGCCGGTTGGACTTGGGCGTGGGACGAGGGGTCTCGCCGGTGGAGGCAGAGAAGTTCGACGTTGACCTTGAAATCAGCTGGGAAGTGTTCAACGAGCAGATGGACTTGTTCACCAGCGGTTTCGCCAACGGCATCTTCAATCAAAAGGGAAAGCACTACAACTACGAGGACATAGAACTTTGGATTAAGCCATTCCAGAAGCCCTACCCGCCGCTCTGTACGCCAGCAACAACATTGAGACCGTGCCGTGGATGGCCCAGCACGGGTTCAACACTTGCCACGTTTTTGCCGACAATTCCGGAGTCCGAGAACACTACGACCTGTACAAGCGGGTCTGGAACGCGGAACGCATGTCCGACGGTCTGAACAGCCACGTCGCGGCGCCCAAGCTGGGACTTGTCCGCCATATGTATATAGCCCCCACGGACGAGCAAGCGCTGGCGGAGGCCAAGCCGGCCTTCGGGACCTGGTTCCACAACATCAACTTCCTGTGGGAGAAGGCCGGGTACGATTTCCTGAACTTCGTACGGGACTTCGAATGACCTGGAAGCCCGGGATATCGTCATTGCGGGCTCTCCCGGTACGGTGCGCGAAAAGGTGCAGCGGGCCATTGACGAGACAGGCATCAACTACTTCTGCCCCATATTCGCCTGGGGAGACCTGACGCCGGAGCAGGTAATGCGTTGCATGGGGCTGTTTGTCGATGAGGTCATGCCCAACCTCCATCGAAGCCAACAGGCATAGTCGCACAGAATCAGGAGGAGTCCCCGCAATGTCCGACGGCAACAACGCCACCACGGAAGTCACATCCATACAGCGGACTATTGAGGCACTTGCCGCCCGCAACGTCGCGGCGATCCTGGTGGAGAGCAGCGAGGCGGCCCTGGACAAGCTGAAGGATGTGGTGCCGGAGGGTTCGGAGGTCTTCGTGAATACCTCGGAAACGCTGAGCACCATCGGCTACACCGAATTCATGCACGGCAACGACCGGTACGTGAACCTTCACGACCAGATGATGTCGCAGCCGGACCCCGCGGCACAGCGGGAGTTCCGTCGCAAGACCACGACAGCCGACTACTTCGTCGGCAGCGTACAGGCCATCGCCGAGACTGGCGAGATTCTCATCGCCAGCAGCTCCGGCAGCCAGATCGGCGCCTACTCATACGGAGCGCGCAGGGTGGTGCTGGTAGCGGGGACGCAGAAGATTTGCCCCACGCTGGCGGAAGCGGAGGCTCGCACTCGCGGCTATACTCTGGAGCGCCACGACCGCTGGCTGGAAGACCGGGGTGTCGCGCCCACACCCATTGGCAAATACTTGGTAATGGAGCACGAGCCGGTAGTGGGCCGCATATCGCTGGTGCTGATCCCAGAGAATCTCGGCTGGTAGAACACGAGGCGATCGCTGGATCGATGGGGACCTGCCTTTCTGCATGAAAATTGTAGATATACACGGCCACATCAGCCCAGCGGGGCTGTTGGGTGCAATGTCTGATGGCAGGGAGTGGCACGGTATTCGCCCCCACGAGTTGCTGCCTACCCACCAATACACCTCCCGGACTATGTGGACTCCAGAGCAGCGTCTGGAGGAGATGGACGAACTGGGTGTGGATGTTCATGTATTGTCCACAAACTCGTTCCTATACTTCTATGAGCGGGATTCAGCGTCAACCGCCGCCATGGCCCGGGAATGCAACGACTACGTTTCGCAGCTGACCAAGGATCACCCCGACCGGTTAGCCGGCTTCGCGACGCTACCGATGCAGGACGTAGGAGCCGCTGTGGCGGAGCTGGAACGTTCGATCGTAGTTCTGGGACTGAAGGGCGCAATGATCGGCGACCACGTGAACGGCGTCACCTATGATGACCCGTCGTTTCTTCCCATCTGGAAGGCAGCGGAGGCCATGGGCGCCGTCATGTTCCTACACCAGTCCGGCGACACGACGGTCAGCCCTCGCAGCGACCGCTATCACCTGCCCAACACCATCGGCAACCTCGTGGACCGCACTGTAACTTTCGCGTCATTCGTTTTCGGCGGTGTGATGGACGTCTGCCCGGACCTAAAGGTCTGCCTGGCGCACGGAGGCGGCTTCGCGTGCTACGGAGCGGGCCGGATGGACCGGGGATGGCAAGTACGGTCAGAGGCGCGGGTCCACATACAGAACCCACCCAGCGAATATCTCGACCGGTTCTGGTATGACTGCCTCACCCAAGACGAGAACCTGCATTGTACGTTCCTGATCGACAATCGGTCGTGGCATAGCATCGGTGGCGGTGGTGTTCGGCCAACCGCTGGCCCTGCTCTCGATATGGCAATCGACGACCCGGTGTCGTGGGTGCGGAACATGACCAAGCTGGCCGACGAGGAAAAGGACGCGATCCTGGGCGGAAACATAGTCCAACTGCTGGGGCTGTAGGTTGAACTGCTTCGGCACGCCCTGAGTAGTTATCGAAGAGTCAACTACTCGGAGGAAACGGCTTCGGCCGAACTCACAACCGCATCCGTCTCAGACTTGGTCAGTTCTCGGAGGAATGTGGTGGCGTAGGCACCGTTGGGCAGGGTGAACTCGATGGTATAGCCGTCGGGGCAGGCACGCAGAGCAACGTCTTCTGGCTTCACCCGGCTGATGCGCCAGTCTCCACGGGTGCGGGGGCGGAAATCGCTACGGCGCAAGCCGAAGCGCTGAAGTACCTCGTTTTCTGTGGCGGAAGCCGTCTCGAGGCCGCCTGATACCTTGCGGCCGTACAGCGGGAGAACGGCGCTGATTTCCAGACGCTCGGCCCGCTCGGATTCAGCAGCCACAGGATCGCCAACCAAAAACATGCCGCCAGTGTCGTGGCGGCGGGCACGGTCTCCGGCGAAAACCCGGTTGTACAAGCCCAACTCAATCCGGCCCTTGAGGTTCCAGTTGAACAGGTGCGCCTGAAGCGCTGAAATGAAGAAGTCGTTGAGCCGGCGCCCACCAGGGACCTTCTCGCCTCGCAACATTCGCACGGCATCGATGGCGTTGCTGTTGAAACGCCCGAATCGCTGGTAGCCGAAAGTTGGGAATGGTGACAGAAATTAACCGAGGAGTGCGATAATTGGAAGATAGAAGGTTAAGGGAGGTTATAACTTGAGAGTTCGATGGGGTGGGGCGTATGTTTTGGGCTTGGTTTCGTTGTGGGTTTTTGGTGTATTGGTGGGTGCTTGTGTGTGGCGGGAGATGTTTGTGGAGATGGTGTATTGGTGTTAGGTTTGGGTTATAAGTATGTGGTTTTTTAAGTGTTTTGGATTGGAATTGTGTAGGGGAGGGTGTTGTGTTGGTCTAGTGGTTTTTGGTCATTGGGTGGGTTTTTTGTTGTGGGTTGGGTTTTGGTTGGGTGGGGGGTGTTTGAGGTGTATGGATGTGGAGGGCACGTGAGCTCATTGCTGGGGTTTTTTAGAAATGGGATTGGGTATTGAATATGGGTACGGGGGATCTTTTTTGGGTGGATGTAGGGTTGAGTTTTTGTGTGTGGGTTTTTCGAGTATGTGTGGGGTTGTTGTTTTGTTTTGTGTTGGTGGTGAGTGGGGTTTGGGGGTGTTTGAGGGCTATAGGTTTTGGTTGGTCCCTTCTTTTTCTCTTCTTCTTCTTTTTCCGTTACTTTTCGATCTTCTTTCTCGGCGTTTTGTGGGTTTTTGTGTATTCACTGCCTTTGTGCTTGTTGTGTCTTTTATCTTCGTTAGATTTAGCGCTGGCTGTTTAGGGTTAACCGTTGTTGGGTTGGTTTTTTTTGCTGGTCCCCCCCGCCGCTTTGTCTACCCCCCAACTTCTGTTTTTCTTTCCCTGCCCCGGATTGGATCTATCCCTCGGTTCTGCTTCCAGCTCCGGGTCCGTTTGCCGTCCCAATCACCACAAACAGCGTTGAGCCGCGGGTGACCCCGCCCGCAGTCCTGGCCTCGTGGCGCACGATCTCCAGGACGCGCACCACCGTCCAGGACCCGCCCAGCGCCTCCCGCTTGGCACGTGCTTGCCTGGGACGCGGCGCCCCTGACGATTTGACAAGCATAACCTTCCATTCGTCCCGTCAACTCCGACAATCGACTTTTTTAGGGGATTTTCCCGCCTGCGGAGAGCAGCAACCATAATCTGAGTGTTTATCCCGTTCTCAGAATAGTCGTACAAATCTCTCTCGCCGCTGGGGTGCGAACGAGGTTTTCGCAGACGACAAAATCCTCGAGCAAACGCGGGTCTTGCCGGCCCCGTACCCGGAATGTCCCGCGTGATAGCGGGGCAACACCTGCCAGTCAAACCTGAACTCTTCAAGGTCGACCGTGCAGCGATGTTCTTTCGCCTCACTCTGATCATACTCAAATTTCCGAGGGGCGGTTTTGCGACCGCACCCCTACAAAAGCGACTCGAGTTTTGCTTTGGCGGATTAGCCGAGGCCCTTGGCCCGGAAGATTCCGTTGCTGGCGTCTATGGCGGCCCGGTGAAGGGTTATGCCGCCTAAAAAGGTGGCCTTATGATACCTCGACGATTTTCCTCGGAGTGAGGCCATGTGAAGCGCTCCGCTGATGTGGCTGCGCATGCGGTCCCTCGCGCGCCCCAACAACTGCTAAACAGGCAAGGGGTGCATATGGAGCGGTCCGTCAAGTTCCAAGCGGGGACGGTTTCCAGACAGAACCCCAGTAGTACTCGGGTGCTGAGACGGTTGAAGTTCCTGCTCCCGCCCTGGGCTCACGGGCCGGGGCGATTCGGGTCCGCCGGGCCAAATCAACTCCTCGCGTCGGGCCCCGCCACGGTTGAAGGTCCTCAGGTGTTTCCTCCCTCTTCTCCCTCCTCCTGATCAAAACCAGCTTTGCGGCTGGAATCGATTCCAGAGCCCGTCGAACACTCCTTTTGCCACCCCCATGGCGTTGAATGCTGTGGGCATTCTCCGCCTTAACAAGAATTCGTTGGTCTGTTTCGATGACTGCTTGATGCGAGAGCCTTTCGGGGAATTGGCAAGTGGGCGTGACCACTGGTTCTCGCCGATGGAGCACCGTAGTGCCGAGAGCTTGATATTTTTTCCCTGCGGTGAATGGGGAAGAGCAGGCCGCTGCCAGATGGTACGAAGCGCTTTTCCATGGCGATGCGGTGGCAGGTCGGGGTGCAACCTCTGGGATGCAGGCACGGAAAACCGCTACCCGATGGCCCAGCCAAACCGACCAAACCCATGGACCGGGTTTTCCAGCCTTTCTGGAAACGATCATTACGGGTGGTCCCTTTCTCTCCCGCGGTGCGTGGCCCCCACCCCTATTTAAGTAGGGAGCCCCTAATGGGGCCAACCTGTCTCCATCAGCAACCGCTGGGAGCGCATGGGCCCCAAGACGAAGTGGAATCCGATCGGTGTCCCTGGGATGATGCCCAGCAGGGTGGGTGCCTTACGCCCCACCCATATCTCCTTTCGTAGTTCCTTGCTCGATCTGTCCGAGCAACCTCCGACTTTCCCCTACGATCCAATGTTTTCCAATCACATGTAGTCTATGGTTCACAAATCCTCTTCAGGCCCAAAAAGTTTTATTCGGGTTCGTCCTTGAGTTGACCCAGGATGCCAACCGGGCCCCTAACTGTTCTATCATTCCACTGTGATACTTACGAAGGCATGCCCCGAGACACACTATGCGGCCTCCTTCCGGCCGACTCAGAGGGTCTCGCCGCACGTGAGATCCGCGTCCGACGCATTTCGCTCCTAGTCACAGCCCATGAAAGACAAAATCGTGTGAATAAAAAGGGAAATGATAATGAATCCCCTCGGTCGCCGCCCTGATGTGCCTCCCCCTCCCTTGCTAATTCGTCGGCAGAGAGCCACAAGTCGGGGTATGTATCGGTTGGGCAGGTTGGTCATGGGCATCCATCCCCGAGCTTCCCGGCCATGCGGATGGTCCTCGGTGTTGGGCGGAAAGAAGCAGCGACCCCGATGGCGGTGGGGTGAGGTCCTGAATAGGGCTTGAAGGAAAGGGCGAGGCGGCCCAGTTCGGCCATCTCCCCTCACGGGGCGTGAACCTGGAAGTGCTGCCCATCTAACCGAACTTGCCGCTGTCAAGCGCTTTCTTCCCACAGGCCCCAGCACACCTGTCCAGCGCCTTCGCGGCCACCGCCTCCGGACAATCGTCCCCCACTGCTGTCCGTATTCCACGCCATAACGCCTGCAGTCTGGTGGCAGCGAGCGCAGCCATAACCCCATAGAGGCGTCCCCGGGCCCCATGGTCGGTCACAGCAGGCGATTCGGATCGTTTGCAGTGTCCAGCAGGATAGTTCAAGCGGTACATCCGTCACACCGGTGGCCCAGGAATGAATTCCTTAGTCAAGGCCAGCGCCTGGGCGATGAATCAACATCCGGCACCGAGCGTTCTCCCACGTCTCAGTGATTTCGTCGCCGAACCCACGCTCAAATTCACGCCCCAGACTGATCAGCCTGCAACGATCCAACGTCGAATTCACTGTCGTAGACCAGAGGGCAGAGCGCCGCGGGGGTTTTCATCGGCATCCATGGAATAGTCCCACATTCCTCTAGCATTCCTCCGATGCCCTCCGTATTGATAAACAAGCGGAATAATCCTCTGTCCCCCGCCCCAAACCGCTTATGGTTTGGGCGTAGGAACCCGGTATGGACCGTGAACTGATTTTTACTTACCAACACCTGTCACCAACGAGTAAAGAACGTGTCTATTCCACGTCGCCCACCAACAAGCAGAATCACAATGTTAGTGGTGAAGCGGAGCGCCCGTTGTCGATGGTTTGCCAAGAGTGCTTCCATGACGGTCAATGATCCATACACCCGCCGGATCCACCCACGTAGACCTGTTCCCCACTCGATAATCCCCTTCAATACCATCAGGCAATTCCAGACTGCTCGCCAGGTTGTGCTGCCGAAGATAGCGACTGGTGGCCAGCGCCATTGCCCGTTGGGCAGCACGTCGAAGGCGCAGATATGAACCGCGCGGGCCGAGATCAATTACGTTACACCCGCTGTTTCGTCGGGCGAAAAGGCGATAACCGTCTTTTCCGCGAGGAGAACCGACCATAGTCGCGCACGAGCATGGTGAATATTCCCAATGAATCAGGGGAAACTCGTTAAACGCCGGATAAAGTTCTTGGTCCGAACTGAGTCTGTAACAGGCAATTCCGGCGTTGGGGGTCGGTGAAGTAAAAATACGGCGCCCCCGTCCGGACCTTAGACGACCACGTCGTTGGGTTCGGAATTTAAGCGGGCGTCCCCTGGGAAGCTGTTAGCGATCACGGTGATGCTGCTGTCAGGCTCCACCCCGACACTCGACGACCTGTCGTGCTCGCCGCGACGAGCGACCCTGCGGGATCACGAGTAATGCCGTTGGCTCGGTTTGGTGGGCTCACTAAAGAGCGATACGCGTCAGGGGCTGCCTCCCTCTCTCCTCTGTCCACCAGTTCATCCGCCCGAATTTAATTGATTACCTGTCTATTTTTTTTTAGTATGGATGTCCCTGAACAGGAGGTATTGCCTCCTGCCCCCACACAAACATCGGCCCTCATCTGGTTCCCTGATTTCGCCCTCCGAAGCCGCCCCGCAACCTCGTTGATGGGTTGAGATGATAAACTTGAGATGATCCCGCTCGAGGCGGGTCCAAGTGCGCCCAACTAACTACTGACATGTGCTTCCCCCTCCAAATTCATGTTCCGTGATGGGCCAGCATCGCCGTCTTTTCACATTGTCTACCTGACAGGGGGACGGGTGCGTTCAACGGAGGCTTTTTCGCCTCACTACGGGCGCGGCGGTGGTGTGTCCCTTGCCGCTCAGATCCATTCGGCAAGCATGGCGCATGCCTAAAGGTCCGAACCGATGCAGCTTTACACAGGTCCGCCCAACGCCCGATCTCCACTCTCCTTCGATGAGATTGAATGAGAACAAAACTGCCTCTCGGCGCAGTGTTCCCATCGCATGAATAGCCGAGTTCGAAAGTTCCTAAAAACGAATCCATTGTGACTACTGAAGCTGGCCAGCTCC